TGTATTCAAAGCGATGTCCGAAGACCACAAGGGAGATGATGTTACCCACTGCATTTGTCATGATGTAGTGGGGGTTGAATGGTCTACCTGGGAAGATGTCAAATTGTACTCAAATCAAGAGAAATCCTGCTACAAAAATGATTTCAGTGCACAGCAATCCCTTCAGTCGTGTGAATTCTTGCAGCCTACTTGCCTTGCTCCTCCTTGAAAGCTTCACAAAGGAAGTTGCACTCCACTTCAATGTACTTCTCCAGTGACTTTTGGCCTTCGCCAAAGTAACGCAGGTGAGTGTTGGCAAACTTCCTCTGCTTCTTCCAAAGATAACCGTTGCTCATAGATATCCCTTGGAGAATATTATATTAAGTTAATAATAAGGAAGCCTTTGCACGGATGTACATTTTGTAGGGGACGGAGTACAATGTGAGCCAAAACAAAATGAAGTTATCATTAAGGACTATGTGACAGGCAAGGTAAGACTCGGAGACAAAGGGGTAAACTAAAAGAGGCAGCTTTATTGCTGTAGCTTATACACTTAAAAATACAAAAAACTCAGGTGAGAAATAAAACTAGAAACTTAAGGAACTGATGAATTAGGAAACTAATGACATGGAAACATGGAATTCCAGAAGACAGCTAGAGAAGCCGACACCACAGAGAAGAGAGGGAGATGCAGAGAAGTATGTACACAGGAGGAGGAGATTGGGGTAGAGTGGACACACCTGAAGAACACAGCTGAACAGAATCTGACTGACAGGACAGGAAGAAAACCTGAACATAACACACGCAAGACTATCAAAATAAAATAGGAATTAACACACATACTCTGATACTCAGACTACGGCATGCAAACTTGACACTGGGACTAGGGATAACCATGAAGATATGAAAGACGGGTGAGTAAAGGGAACAAAACACAGAGAGATGAACATGGAAACATGAAGGGAGAAAACAAACAGAGAGGACTAAAGAAAGTATTAACTGGACACAAACAGAACAAACGTGAAGAAACCAGAATTGAAGAACTACAGTATGACTAATAAACCCATCCGCACAGGAAACAAACATACTCAGGAACTAGTTCATAATTATCTTATTATGAAATAATAAATAGGTCCAAAATCAAACTCAAAAACTGGGTCCAAGACCCAGGACTGTAACAGCACTAAAAAATAATTTCATTATATTTTCACATTTGATATGCTTTTTCAGGGTTTGTTTTGAGAATTGGGCCATACAGGGACGTGATATAATGAGGATGTACAGGTATTGATCATTTCTAGTTTGATGACAATCTAATACAGCTTAAGACTTGGGGAAGGAGGTTGGTACAGCAAAAAATATAGGCAATAGCACATGCTTACATGCACGTGTTTTAACTACTCACCTAAGCCCTTTAATACAACATGGAAAAGAGGGACGATTGGTCGATCAACAAAGTTGTCCAGGTGGCTGACAAGAGCCTCTTTGACCATTTTATATCCTGCAACAAACACCATCCTCTCACTGCCCCTCCTCAAACTGAACACGGGGCCGTACTTCTGAGCCAGCTGCAT